GTATGTAGCCGCCCATGCGGTTCACGCATCTGGCAAGAGTGGCACGTCCTTCGCACCGCCAGCGTCAACTCATCCAGACCATCCCAACCAAACAGCTCCCTGAGCTTGGCTAGCACCTTCTCCGCCCCCGCATGCATAAAAATGATGTGGGCCGCACCCACCACATTCTGAATCTCTGGCCAGGAGAGCTTCTAGTCACACAAGACATACGGGGAGTCGCCCGTGCGCGCCAAGAGCACCTCACGAATCTGGCGACGCTCAACGCGCCGCAGCCTACGCGCCTCTCGTTGGACGTCCGGTTGCGCCCCATGTTCCAGCCTCCCGCGGCGTAGGCACCAGCTGCGCCTGCTCTGGTCGCGAGCGCAGAGCAGCCTTCACAGCATAGCCCATTACCGGAGGACGGGCAAACCCCGCCACTCCGGCCCAGAAAGAATCCGGAATCACTGCGCGCTTCGCGTATGAGATCCGACATAACAAAGTGGGACCCCATGGGGGTGGAATCATCTTCTCATGACAACCCCTTCTGCGGGGGAATGACTATAGGCTCCCAAGCCAACATGGCCTTCATTGGCTCCCACCAGTCCGCATCAGGCATGTACGGGCACACAAGGGTTATCTCAAGTTGCTTCGCAATAATAGCCTTAGCCAGGACTCTGGGTATCAACACCCAGGGCGGGTTCGCCCAAATATTCGGGCCAACCCAAGACGCCGCCAAAGCACCGCCATCGGTAGATGTCGAGAAGTATTTAGGAAACTGCTGGTTACCCGAATTTGTTTTAGAAGATATTTTCACGTTGGGCAATTCGCTCTATCCCTTTTTTCTCGTTCCTTAGAAATGCGTGCGTGATTGTGTTTTTTGAAACGTACGACTGTCCTACAAAGGACATGAAGCTATATCGAATATAGTCAGTACATCACAATCGACTGCGAATCTTCTCGATCACCAGTGTACCACCTATAATAAAAGCCTTCAGATGCATCTCTGGTGCTTCTCCTATGCATGGACATATACTTCCGTCCTTGTCCCTCACAGAAAGTGTGAAAGTCAAAGTCGCATTGCATAAACTACTGAAAATTCAATACTTGACTTCCACGTCATCCGTTGAAAAGGTCAATGAAAACACTTCTATCCATTAAGCGACTTGCAAAGGAAGGATTTAGATTTTATGCATAGCTCGTCTTCCTTTGATACCTAGTTCCATTTTAGCTGTACATATTTCTGGCTTCGAAAAGCGAAATAATTGAACTCTGTTGCAATCTATATATGATTTGAAGCGATAATACACGGCTGCCAGTGATAGTATCCAAGACCATTACAAATAGAATAACTCGATACGAAGTTCATTATACGCAGAACATCTACTTTGAATTCTTGGGGATGGTATTCTGGGGTAGTAAAGCTACCATAACCATGCCGGCACACTCCACTATTTCCTGCGCCTTGGCGTAGAATTGTGTGCAATAGGTAGATCAACTCAAAATTTAGGACCATACAAATTGATGTTCAACTTTCAAGTATAAGCCTATTGTGCACCTTCGATTATACAGAATACTCAGGTTGAACCCTTTTACACTATACACGAATCTAAAGACTTGAGTAACATGATTCTACATACCTGAGTATACCAGTGGCCGACTAGTCAAACATAACTGGTAATCAAAAGTTCAGTATATATTGTACACAATCTGATTGGAATTGCATATCTATACACACACACACACACACACACACACATTATA